TGGAATTACTTTGACCTGGATGACTGAGAATCTCAACCCGCATTTACAGAACAAGGAAATTGAAGGATCCAGACGTAGAACAATTTAAGAATATTGCAGGACTTTGTATGATCAGGATAATTTAGCCAGAGCCTTATAGGTGAGAGAGCTCTGACAACTCAACTGACGACAATAAGCAACATTTCAAAGCCCAATGGTGACAAAAGGAGCCTAAATAGTTCGAAGGCCATTAGCCACTCATGCTAGCATTGCCATAGACATTAGTAAACCATACTAAACTACAGGAAAATACAGATCTTAAATATCACATCATGGTCTCTGCTTCTAACGAGCATTAGGTTGTAATAATACAGAATATGATTGAGATGGAGTTTATTACTTTATTAAGTAAGTTTATTTGTTACATGCACAGTTATATATAGTACATTACATAGAATAAATGTAAATTATTATACTTAACAGAGCTACAAGACTGGAGAAATTTGCCACTGATTATGAGTTCCCGTAAGACTATAATTTAATCCTGCCCTTATCATAGATCATTATATAGTTTGTTTAGCCCTTACAAAAGGGTTTAAACTGCTAAAGTATCAACCATGAGGTATTTTATCATTGATGAAAGTGCTCATTGAAGGCCTTGGTAAACTTACTGCTGAAAATGAAAGTGCTGTGTGAAGTTAAGGAGAAACTGAGACTATTGCAAGAGAATGTACAAATGTATTTAACGGCTTCAGACGAAGAGCTCTGAAGGGGCAAGCTCAGTACATACATTTATGCAACAATTCCCAATACACACACACACTCCCTTGGAACTATCCCACCCCAACATAAAGAACTTTCTGACACAGGAACATTTGGAGAAAAAAACAACTTGAGTTCATAAAAACCATTCCCAGTTAGGTTAATATATCTTTCACCGGCCAGATGGATCTTCGCAAAACAACAGTCCTCACCTTCATACCATGAAGGAGGCTGTGTGAACTCATTCTTATCTTTAATTACCTTTGTTTGGGGCCTGTGAGGCTAAGAAAAGACATATCTCAACATTTTTTACTCCACAGCTGCATTGGTGAACCTGCAACCAATGTTTGAGGCCCTCAGTCTTCGGCCCAGGGGTTCATGTCCTGGACCGTGGACCTTTGCAAGGTGTCTTCCCCTTTCTCGTTCAACTCTATATCCTGTTAGTTTGCTATCAAATAAATCAAGCTAAAAAGTATTCATGGTATTCACAGGCTCACCGTTAAACTTTAAGATGTTCCAATAAGCTCCATAATGATGAGGAATGGAAAGTGCTCATGGTAAGATCTCTGGCAGAGACAAAAGGAATGATCACTAGAGTTATCCAAAAGGCGGAAACGATTTAAAGAGAACTTCAGAGAAAATATGGAATCAGCAGATATAGTTTTTTCGATTAAGAAAAGCACTTATTGTCCTTCATGAAAACTCCACGTGCAAGACTCCACTGCTGAAGAAAAGCTGATTTAATAGAGTTTCTTGCAAACTATTTAAACAGTGAAGGTCATGGAGATATAGGGAGAATATGGTCTGAAGATCAGTGTTTACATCAAGTATTAAATAAATACCAAACACCAGGAAAACAGACATCAAGTATTAAATAAATACATTCTACAAACCATGTCCATTTCTTGTGATCAGTGCTTGCTCCATTCTACTTCATTGTAACTTCATATTTGTACTAATTGTTTGGAAATTTTCTATTTATAAAAAAAATAATAATAATTGTATGGTTTTATGGGTTAAAGTTTGTTTCTGTGTATTGGATGTCAATCAGCTCTTTGCTAAGAAGAACAAATAAGCTTAATCAACCTATTTTCTCCACTATTTACATTTACATAAGACTTAACAAGTAGAAATATCCCAAATTTAGGGATAGGGGCAAAAAAGGGTTTGATTGTTAAGTCTGTTATATTGCACGGTGACACTACATTCTTACAGTGCTATTAAATTTGATTTAAATGAGCAATAAGTCTAGAAATTTATCGGGAAATTAACCCAACTTATTCTCATTTGTCTCCTTAAAAAGACTCAGTTCAGTTATTCTCCTTTCAAACCTAAAGGTACAATAAAGAACTACTTTTGTGCAGTGTGTAGTCCACGTTTACTTCCTGGTTTCTGAGCCAATCGAATGAGAGTTCAAAGGGTTGCCAAATCAGAGACCACCTCTCGGTATTTTGTATTGAAAGACCAGTAGCCTGCAATCATGGATGCCAGCAAGAAAGGTGAACCAGCAATAGTCTCAGCAACACCTCTGCATCCTTTAAAACTATTTGAGCATTGACTCACTGTGGAAGAATCATCCTTATCTTTTTTTCTAGCAGGACGGACATGTCATTACACTGTCACAAGTACAGAGCTACGAAATGAACTATCTGCATTTAAGCCATCCCCAGGGCGGCCATTGTGCAGCGCCCGGGGAGCAGTGTGGAGTTAAGGGTCATGCTCAGGGAGTGGCAATCAGTGGGAGTGGGGCTTGAACTCAGAACCTCTGGATTCCAAGCGTAATGTCCTAACCACTAGGCCACCTCTCCTCAAAGCAGGCATTACCGTGAAGGGTCTTGCCTAAGGACCCACAGTGTCGGCTCATTCCTCCAACCCACGCTTCCTGTTTGCAGGACGAGTGACTTACCACTTATGCTAGCCAGCCGACTTTAGCCAGGCAACCGACTTGGCAACCTGCAGGACACTCTATGACTCAAATCCGAATACCTCAAATTGTAGCTCCTATGTCTCGTTCCTAGCTCCTATGCCTTCATTTTTTTATGGCGTCAATGGTAAGATCTCTATCCAGGTTCATTACATTGCGGACAGACACGCATGAAGGACGCTGCTCAAATTAGGATTACAGCCTTCTGGAAAAGGACTTCAAAAAAACTAAAGTAACTGAAATGAAATGAACAAATGAAGCTCTCCATTAGAAAACCCAAATGATATGAAGGTGAGGACATGAGCATGTGTCAAACAAAGTACATGTCAACAAATAATGAATTTTTGTTCAACCCTGTGAGGTGGGCTTTGTCTATAAGCTCTCACACAAAGAATTGTGGGTAATCGAATAGTTTGCACCAAGGGACATCAGGAGGTGCTAGCTCCTTCCTTACTGCCAGCAGTATTCGGATAGCGCTATTCAGATTCATTATGGTGATTGTGGACGAAATCGCCGGCGCCTTAACTGTCCTAACTGATTGAAGGTATTTGGATTAGCTCGCTGTGTTATCTGTTTGTTTGTTGTTCTGATGACTTTTTTATTTGCTGCTTCTTTAGGGACATATGAGTGATTATTCCAATAACTGTTATCGATTTAGCCTAACACATAGATAACAGTTGTGGGTGTTTCAGATTTACACAGATTCTGAAATTTAGGACAAGCTTTTAATATAACTGTAGGTAAAGAAATAATAAATGGGTTTATATATATTTGGTATGTTTCTGTTAGCCATTGTTTTCCTCATAATGTTATCTTGGAGGGGGTCCTCTCCCTCTGCCTCGACCTCTTCCAGGACCCGGCCCAGGTCCTCTCGGTCCCGGCGGCCGATCTACTGGCCCTCGGGCGTTTGGGTTGGAGGAAGCTAGAGCCACGTCCTTCTGTAAGTTGACTCCTTTTCCGGCTGAACCAGGCTTTGTCTTGGTGGGCTTTGCCTCCGGCTCTGGTGTTTTTTCTGTTTTAGAGAAACGAATGGGATCGTTTCAGTTCAAACTCAGCTTTGCATCCAACACAGTGAATGGATTAGCAAGAAGATGAAAATGAAAGGGACAGGAGGAGACCGACCGGGCTCCGGTGGAGCAGGGGGGCTGAGTGATCGGTTCGGCAGCAGGTCCTCCAGGTCTTTCATGACCTGGTTGGTGCTGTCTTTGTTATTCCTGCGGTTCTTCTCTTCATCGCGAGCCTGGACACAGAGAGACGACAGGAAACATAAAGTCTTAAGGCAGCGTCTCCTGGAGACCCATGATGATATGTAATCAGATTTCATGGACCAGATTGTGACATAAGTCAATCAGTGACGTATATCTTAGGGTTAGGGTCAGGGTTAGGGCTAATTGTAATTTATATTCTATATTCGTGAATGGTGCGTCAGATGCGCATGCGCATACAACAAAAAAAACGTCCAAAACGTACGAAATTACGGTGCATAACTTTTCGTACGATTTCATACGCACTCATAATGAGAATAGGTTGACAGGAGAACAATGAATCCAGGCTGGCTTTAAATCCTTTGCATTTCCTTTGAAACTGGAATTATTTAAGGGAATGTTTGGAACTAGAACACAAAGAGCTGGATATTTGAGATCATCCCTGCTAAATTAAAATAATATTTTTTTATCTTACTCTCCTTTATTCTGATATATACAGAGAATTTAACAGCAAAATAGCTTCAGTTCTACATTTTTAGATTTATTTGAAGGTATAGTGGAGAATGTTCTTCTTTGGGTGGATCCCCATTTTCACTTACCAGTGGTGAGTCTGGAATAGTGAAAAATTGCAAAAAATTTTCTGGAAAGTAAGCTTGTATGAGCGATGCAAATAGCGACTTTCTAAACAGAGCGTGCATGAGGAGAAATGGTGCATGCTCTCACATGTGTTTAATATGCGTTTTCTCTCTGGAGAGGGTAAAGGATCGTGCATGCACATTTTTTTTTTTTTTTTTTTAAGTGGAGAGGGCGAGTCTTTTAAAAAATTCACCAAAATAATTTTTCTATAAATACTTTTTATTACTTGTTGTAACACAACAAAAATTATCACTTAATTTGCACTAAACATTTTTATCATTTTTTGGGTGTTGGTTGTTTTATTATGTTTTGATGCAGGTTTCTTAACCAATTAATGTGTGTTTTACATCTATTCCTTTTTACCATTTTATTTTTTTAATGTTCATCACTTCATCTCTATAAATCATGATGGTGATGAGGTATTTTATCCTGAAATAAACCTAACTTTGCTTTATGCCAATTCATACCCTATTTTCCTACCTAGCAGTGGTGGTTTTTATCTCTTAATCATTAGTAAAATGCTTTAATGAATCATATAGTCTTAAAATGTTCTACTCACATATAATTATTATTCTAAAATCTGAATTTTACATTTTTTTCCTCATATACCGGTTCATGCTCTCCTTTGGGCCAGCTGCCTTTTAAACATAAAAGATTATAACTCTCAATAAACCCAAAGACATCTAACCACCTTCCTTCCAGTAGGGAAAAACAAATACAAAAACAGTATGAGGACCAGAATACTTAAAATGAGTTTGCTGAATGAGGGGTTAATACCTGAGAAAAGAAAAAACTTAATTAAAGCCATTTTGTACTCACCATCTGCATTTTCTTCTTTAGTTCCATGTTTGAGTTTTGATAGGCTTTGGAGACTGAGTTCAGATAATAGATGGCCAACCTGGAATTAAATAAAAAATTATTTTGATCCTGTTTATGCTGAATGTTCTAC